GTTTGAAAATTTTTACATATAATTTTAGTTCTGCCGTAACCTACCTTTAATAAGTCCTCTACATCGATATAATTTAATTTTAATAATAATTTTGTTACCGTAATAGCGTTAATGGGTTTTCTTCCTTCTAGATTAGGTTTGGTGTCAATACATACAATAAAAGGTCCTTTGCAATCTTTGTCATAAAAATAATTTTCCTTATTGGGTTCATTTGGAAAATCTTTAGTAGGTTCATTGATGATCTTGGTGGTTTGATTTTTTGATGGATTGATAGATGATGATGATGATAAAGTAAGAGGTTTTATGCAAATGTAAGATTCATTTTTATTTAAATTATCTTCTAATCTTGATTTTTTAGTCACTTCCTTTTCTCTGGAAATGGATTTTTGCCTTTGCTTCTGTTTGTTCCGCTCTATTACTGAGGAGCCAGATGGCTCCTCATCCTCAATATCCATAAATTAAATAATTACTTATAAAAACGCGTAAAATATTAAGAATCCGATAAGAAAATATATATAATAAAACTATTCGATAAATAGCAGTTAGTTTTATATTAGTTTAAAACTATATATACGTAAATATATTTTATGTTATTTTTAATTTTTTATATTTTTGAGCTCAATATTTTTTCCGATACAACTGTTTACTTCATTGAAAATCAAGTTAAAATTATAATTTAAATTTTAAAATTTTCTATCCGATTTCTTAAACAAATTTTGAGTTAGCAGTTTTGTAGGCCATTAAATTTTAGTATAGTAAGAAGCAAGTTTCAAGTCGCTAAAAATTACCGTTGATTTTTGAGAATTGTTTTTCGCTGAGACTGTCACCTACATTGAAAATTTCGATGAAAATTTCTTGGTATTTTTTGCATTTTCCCCGAGTTTTGTATGAAATTAAAAATAAATGATTCTTGTGGTAAAAAGTCGAAACCGACTCTATGGTTCACAGCCTTTCTGTGGCCTGTCTAAAGGATATAGTATATTATCGTAGCCTCTAAGAAGAAGCGAGATCGCTCAGCTTTCACTCTTAAAGGTGTATAACATCCTCTCGCCAGTATAATTTTAGCAGCGAGGGTTTCGAATAATTTTTGGTTACTTGAAAAAGCGGGCTACAGATTTTGTGAGCTGGCGAAGAAACAAGTGGAACTTATATTATTCTGGTGGCTCTGGACGCGAGCTACTTTATCTTGAACCTCGTGCGAAACTCTTTGAACTAGATATTATAACTTTGCACTATTTAACTCAGTCAAGCACGATTATTTCAACTTATCTAAAAGCTGCGAGACAAACTATTCCAATAATACCAACTCGAACCAAGGCTAGTAAAATGATTAAGTGTGGATGACACAAACTTATGCTAATTCTAATAGTTGCGAACTAGATTTCTGCGTCTTCAATTCCTTCTGGAGCTTTCCATTTCTTTATGCCCGCATTTTGGGGAAGTTTTCATAGTTTTGGGAATTTAGCCATAATTTTTATTATTTTGTTAATCGTCGTCAATATTACAATGTAGTTATTCAATATAATCTCCATTTAACTGAATACATCTATATTATTTTTTAAAGCCATCCTCAAAGAATTGTTTCGGTGTCTCCTCAATGCACCTATTTATGGCACGTTTAACGTCACTTAAACTTTCAAATCGAACACTCCGTGAGGGCACCAATATCGTTTCCTATAAGTTCTGCGTAATTTAATTATAGCACAATTCCCAGAACTTTGGAAACATCCCTCGTATTTGTGGTTCGGTTTCCTATGAATTCTGAGGCTGTTTGGATCGTCTATTGTAGCATAACTCAAGCTATTTGATTACAGCTCGTCTTTGATCTATGTATCATTTAGAAATTACACGAAGTATCTTGGCTGGATGCTATTTAGATCATCTTCTTTTAGGTACAGTGATTCTAAAGAGCGATGTCTACGCCTGGTTCCTGTTTCTTGTAACATAACCTGTACTGGGCGGAGCAAACAACTCCCTGGTTTGCCAAATACTTTATTACCTTGCAAATGCTAGTAAGAAAGCATATAGCAGTGAGGGATAGTTTTGCTTCTCCTTGTTGTTTGATTTAGACAGTCCAATAGACTTCTAATCCATTAATGGTGTACTTTCGCTAGCAGGAGTTCGATGGAAGACCTAACCCAGTTTCTGAATGCGATGAGTATTAAAAGCTCAAGGCAAATACAAATAAGTTTCAGTGAGTTCTTATCCTTTTGAATGGCAGGAACCTCAGTTTAAAAGACAAACTTGCCAAATTCTAGAGCATTACGGGCCTTTGAAACCAGATTTGATTACCAGATGCTGCTATATTTCAGGGGTTTTCATTGTCCATTGTCCAAAAGAAACATAGGTAGACTCCTTGGTTAGTAGAGCCTAAGTGGCAGCAGTTTGAAAAGCATTTCGCGAGCGCGGTGTGTGATTTTGAATGCATTAATGATTGTCCACATGAAAGTCATTGGAGTTTACTGAGCTACGCCTGCGTGGGTTTAATTTCTGTTTTCTTCCACTAGACACGAGCGACGTTTTTAGAATATTTGGATACGTTCTTCACCGATAGCTTTTGACAATTCTAAATGGAGGCCCTGTATTTTCAATTAGATTAGGTAGGACTCCGAGAGTCATTTCTTAAGAGACTAATGCAGTACTTTGAATGAATAAAGGGTGACTGTGAAAGCTGTATGCATGAGTGCACATATCGGTAATAAGATTTAGGCGGCATCCCAATATAGCAGCATTTTATTGTTCTTTACTTCATTTCATTTGAAGATCCCCAATATTTGTTACGAGTTTGATCTCTTTCTATTGTGTGCCGTATTTAATTTGATTGTAATTTACAGCGCATTATCGAGTCATATGTGGAGAAACGTGTTGGCACCACTTACGGTCCACCCGGTCAACGTTCGATGACTGTCTTCATAGATGACATTAATATGCCAGTAATCAATGAATGGGGTGATCAAATAACCAACGAAATTGTGCGGCAAATGATCGAACAAGGTGGTTTTTATTCGCTAGAGAAGCCAGGTAATTATCTACATTTCTTAAATTTCCTACAAACTTCTTTTCACAAAACTCTCCTCCACCATTCCTTAGGCGATTTCTCCACCATCATGGACATACAACTAATGGCAGCCATGATACATCCCGGCGGCGGTCGTAATGATATACCAAATCGTTTGAAACGTCACATGTCCATATTTAACTGCACTTTACCAAGCAATAATTCGATGGATCAGATTTTCAATAAAATCGGACAGGGCTACTTTTGTTTGGCGCGCTTCAATGAGGCGGTCGTAGACACTATACCACATTTGGTGCCACTCACACGTATTTTCTGGCAAAATGTTAAGGCTAAAATGTTACCAACACCGGCAAATTTCCATTACGTCTTCAATTTGCGTGATCTGTCGCGCATCTGGGAGGGTATATTGAAAATCAAGGCGGAAGAGTGTGAAAGCATAGCAACGGTGCTTAAATTGTGGTGTCACGAATGTACGCGCGTTATTGCCGATCGATTTACTGAGTTCAAGGATAAAGATTGGTTTGTGTCGTGCATGAAACGTGATGCATTGAATAATTTGCCAGAAGAAATAGCTGAACATTATCCCGAGGAAGAAACGTACTTTGTTGATTTTCTAAGAGACCCCCCTGATGCGGCGGAGGATGATGAGCAGGAAGTGTCACTGGAGCCGCCGAAAATATACGAGGAAATGCCAAGGTGAGTGCTGAATGAAAGGAGGCTTTCGATTGTGAAGTAGGTTTTCTATTTTTACTGAAAGTAAACATATTTTAGGGCTTCATTTTTATGTGGTATAGTCTGGCTTGGATTATTCCAGTAATGTAGGTCATCCATAGAAATAATCCATATAGCAGAACTGGCCTTACAACTCTGTGTTTAACACTTTCGCGAACTCGCTTTCTATGTTAGGACTTAGAGATTTGAAATATTCTAAAAAAAAAACTGCTCTTATTAGGTGGAGCGAAATTCTCCTAGGGTTTGACTTCCCGTATTGATCCTACCGTTAGATAGATATCTGCGACCTAACGGATCTTTTGTGCTTTCTACATACTTATTACAATCCCCAGAAAGCTTAGACGCGCTTTTGGAGGTAGGGAGTGTATGGGCTCATCTTTTCGTCACATTGAGCCTAGACTTTTGTCTCGTCGTCTCGATATGACCTCAAACTCCATAGACTATTTGACCAGATTTCCGCCTTATGCCGATGTTATCTTAGCCTGCTGCATCCCGTGAGAATGCCTTTGATAGCCCTTAGTTTCTATTTATGGAGGTTAATTAGAAGACTATATCTTCTTTTCAGGAATGGTTTAGGTTTTGTGGAAGTTGCGTCCGCTGTGAAAATTCACTCAGTTACTAGGGCAGGAAATTCGCCATAGGTACGGATTGTCTCTTTTAGGTGTCATAGATGTCTGCCCCAATGTCTTTGGGGTTTTAGAGCCGTCTTTCTGACAAAGCAGAGTGGTATATAATCGAATATTTTTTCACAGTTCCACCTAGATATGCTCTTCATTTAACCTGGCCCGAGAACTCTCAGTAAAGGGAAAAGCAAGGTAACAGGAAAAGTTTCAGACGAAGGTCCTTTCAACCACCTACGCAGGCGCATAGCTTCACAACACTTTGGCCAGAGGCACAAACGAAACAATGCTAGCAATTAAGCCAACCAATGGAAATCACATAGGCATTGAAGTGAAAAGGGCAGAGCTATGCTCTAGTCAAATTTTTCATATTCCTTTTCCGTAGGCCTAACAGCAGGGTCTCTTGAAACACCATAGCCACCCACAGTGAGGTAGTTGCTCGCAAAGCATCAACATCTAGCTTGTGTGTAGCGGCTGAATGTAATTATCCAGCTGGATATACTTCCTTAAATCAGATAGGAAAAAGAACCCTTACGCACTTTACTTCAGAAGGATTTCCAAAGGAAAGCTCATATAAAATGGAAATATGGATAAACTAGGATGTAAATTTTCACTAATCCTACTTCTTGGAAATTTGTTTAGCAAGATCATGCAACTCGAAAAAAAAATTTAAAATAGAGTTGCTCAGCAAAGTCGCCTGGAACAACTCTATAATAGAAATACACTTTCAGGCTGGTACTCTGCACTAGTAGACATACGGCTTAACTATATCAGATGCCTTTTTGGTACCCAGCTGCTATTGGCTTTCAAGCCACAAGATTATTGAGGGGATGCATTAGCAGGTAATGTAAGCCGAAAAACAGCAGCCACTTCTCCAACTGGGCCTGAGCCTTATTTTTCAATAGGCCCAAATACAATCGCAGGAAAGAATTTAAAGAAGGACTCTGTTGATTTAGTCCACGTGGAAAAGTGCTTTTGCACGGTGGCTCGAAGCTTGACGGAAAGGGTCGAAGGCTGAATGAAGGTTTTCTCCAGGTATGTACAAAATTTGCGTAAACCGTCACGCGTAAACCAAGACGAATTCAGAAGTAGTAGAAATGAAAACTAATCTAATCGCTGTTCTAGCAACATTGCTCCTTGTTATAGCTCGGGACTTTTTCGGGTCTAGTGCGGGCCTGGTTCAGGGCTTCCAACTCACTTCTGATTAGCTGCTGATTTGCGCGACGGCATTCCGGGAAGCGGGGTAAATATCTACTTGGATTGCTTGGCAGCAATCAAAGCTTTGAGCTCACTTACGGTGTGCTCAAAGTGGGGAAGGCCTGAGAGTTCTTTCGGTCGAATCTGAGGCTTTGTCAGACTTTTATGGGTGCCAGGACATAATGATATCGCTGACGAATTGGCAAAGAGGTATCCTCGAGCTAGACTCAATAAGGGGAGACAGAGGGGGAGTGTCTTTGACTACAAGTAGACAACTCTTGGGCCGATGGGTATCGTGACTATCCGGAGGTGAAATTGAAGCGGTCTAGTCATCCCCTTAGTCTCACAAAGCCACAGCTATGAATTCTGGTACTTGATTTGGCAGAACATTGTCCGATTGAGATTCACGCTAAATACCTCACATGCGCCCAGTTCCCCCAGCAGCTTGGTAGGCGACGAGGTGGAATATCAAAACTCCCTCTTGAACTGCTCAGCTTTTGCTAGACTGCGGCTTAATCACCAGGGAGCGCATATTTTAAACAACGCGGAGACCAACATCAGTTGCCTGCTTCGGCAAGCAGCAAAGATCCCCGATAACTTAGCAGTTGCCGTTCGCAGTAGTTATGCCGAGTTTAACTATGTCAACCTAACGCGACCTAAACTAAGTTTACGACCTTTTAAATGCATGCATTTTCTTCTAATTTTCAGTTTCGACTTTGTTAAACAGAAAGTTCACTTCTACATGGATCAATTCAATGAATACGTACGTGGCTTCACCATGGACCTGGTCTTTTTTCGCGATGCTTTAGTGCATTTAATGATTGTATCGCGTATATTAAGTATGCCGAGGTAAGATGACTTACCAGCCAACTCACACAGCGCTTAACCTGGTCGCATTTCTTACAGGGGCAATGCGCTGCTCGTCGGCGTTGGCGGTTCAGGCAAGCAAAGCCTTACGCGTTTGGCATCCTTCATAGCGAATTATAAGTTCTTCCAAATTGTGCTAACACGTGCCTATAATGCGGGTAATCTTGTGGAAGATTTGAAATATTTATATCGCACAGCCGGCTTGGAAGGACGTGGCATAACATTTATATTTACGGATAATGAAATCAAGGATGACGGTTTTCTGGAATTCATTAACAACATATTGAGTTCGGGAGAAATTGCAAATCTCTTTGCCAAAGACGAAATGGGTAGGTCGTTGCGGATTTATTGTTGCGGTAGTAAGGTGAATTTTTCCACAAATTTCAGATGAGATCTACACGGAAATCATACCAATTATGAAGAAGGTACAACCCAAACGCATACCCACGCAAGACAATCTCTATGATTTCTTCTTATCACGCGCGCGCTACAATCTACACGTTGCGCTGTGCTTCTCACCGGTAAGTGTTGTTGGGCTAGGCTACTTTTATTTCGACGTTGCTTACAATTATTACTGCAGATCGGCGAAAAATTCCGTGCGCGCTCGCTAAAATTCCCCGGTCTCATATCGGGCTGCGTCATAGATTGGTTCCAAAAGTGGCCAGAAGATGCGCGCGTTGCTGTGTCGCAGCACTACTTGAAGGATTTCCCTATAGTCTGCACTAATGAGATTAAGGACCAAGTTATAGACTTAATGAGTTGGATACATGAAACCGTATCTGAGGCATGCCTCTCATATTTCGAACGTTTCCGACGCACCACCTTCGTCACACCCAAGTCGCTGATATCCTTCCTGCAAAGTTACAAGACGCTCTACAAAGACAAGCAGACGAATATCATTACAATGTCGGATCGCATGAGTTCGGGTTTGGATAAGTTGGATGAGGCGGGTGCTGCTGTTGCGGTGTTGAAGAAGGAACTAATTGAGATGAATAAGGTGATCGCCATAGCGACGGAGGAGGCTGAACAAGTATTGGAGACAGTGGCGGAATCAACGGCAGCCGCTGAAGTTGTCAAAGTGCAGGTGGCCGAGAAGAAAGCGCAGGCCGGTGAGCTGGTCAAAGTTATATCGGCTGACAAAGAGGTGGCCGAGGCTAAGTTGGAAAAAGCGCGACCAGCGTTAGAGGAAGCTGAGGCGGCGCTGCGGGTAAGTTCGCTGATACGCTTCCCTTTTATAAAGTGCTGACATGATTTTTTGTTTGTCGTTAGACTATTAAAGCTGCGGACATTGCGACTGTGAGAAAACTCGGCAAGCCGCCATACTTGATTACGCTCATTATGGACGCGGTGTGCATTTTATTCCGCAAGAAAGTGAAGCCTATTAAACCCGACATTGAAAAGCAATTTCTGCAAAGCTCTTGGGAGGAGTCGCTGAAGGTGATGTCGGACACTAGCTTTTTGAAGAAGATTGTTGATTATCCTACGGATATCATTAATGCCGAAATGGTGGACTTGTTGGTGCCTTACTTCAACTATAAGTGCGTACCGCTGTTATTTACATGCTACTTGCTTGCTTTCTAAATTACCACTTATTTCTTTCGCAACACTTTCTCCCTCTTTCTCCCTCTTTCTCACTCTCTGTCAACAGCATGTACACATTTGAAGCGGCCAAGATAGCTTGCGGTAATGTCGCCGGCCTGTTATCTTGGACCATCGCAATGGCCAAGTACTATGAGGTGAATAAAGAGGTGCTGCCGCTAAAGGCTAATTTGACCGTACAAACAGCGAAATATCAGAAAGCAGCCGCCGATTTGCAAGAAGCTGAGGAATTGTTTGCCGCCAAGGAGCGCGAATTGGCCGAGGTGCAAGCGCGCTTCAACGAAGCCATCACTAAGAAGGATGTCGTGCTGGCTGAGGCTAAGAAAGTGCAAGACAAAATGGACGCTGCCACGGCGTTGATTAGCGGCCTGGCCGGCGAGAAAATACGTTGGACCGAACAGATTGCGCAGTTTAAGAGCGAAACGGATCGGCTGGTGGGTGACACCATAATACTCACCGCCTTCCTCTCGTATACGGGTCCGTTTAATCAGGAGTATCGCGTGGATTTGCAAAGCCAGTGGTTGAAGGAGATACGCGGGCGTATGATACCGTTATCCGTTATCTTGAGCATAATAGAAAGTCTGACAGATCGCACGCAAATCGGTGAATGGAATATACAGGGTCTACCCACTGATGAGTTGTCCGTGCAGAATGGCATAATTGCCACGAAGGCTGTGCGCTTCCCCCTGCTTATCGATCCGCAGTCACAGGGTAAAGCTTGGATTAAGAATAAGGAGAAGCACAACAATCTCATAGTGACGGCGCTGAGTCACAAGTATTTCCGCAATCATGTCGAAGATTCGATAAGCTTGGGCTTGCCTATGATAATTGAAGATGTTGCCGAGGAGTTGGATCCCATGCTGGACAATGTTTTGGATCGTAATTTGCTTAAGGTGGGCACAACATACAAAATCAAAGTAGGCGACAAGGAAGTTGACTACAATCCAGCATTTCGTTGTTATATAACCACTAAATTGCCGAATCCCTCATATACGCCGGAAGTTTTCGCGCGCACATCCATTATAGACTTCACCGTGACAATGAAGGGCCTTGAAGATCAACTACTGGGGCGTGTGATACTCACCGAACGCAAAGAGCTCGAGGAGGAGCGTCAGGAGTTGGTGGAAACCGTGACGAATAATATGAAGAAGATGAAAGAATTAGAGGCCAATTTGCTACATAAACTATCCACCACGCAGGGCAGCTTGCTGGATGATGTAACTGTCATTGAAGTGCTGAACACCAGCAAGAATACGGCCATAGAGGTAAAGGAGAAAATCGAGGTGGCCAAATTAACGGAGGCGAAAATTAATTTGGCGCGCGAGGAATATCGGCCGGTGGCAACGCGCGGTAGCGTGCTGTACTTCTTGGTTTGCAGCATGGCGATGGTGAATAATATGTATCAGACGTCGCTGGTGCAGTTTCTGGAGCGCTTCGATGCCTCTATGCACCTCTCGGCTAAGACGCACATAACTGCCAAACGCATCAAACGCATTATCTCGTATTTGACTTTTGAGATCTATCGCTACAAGTCGCGTGGCCTTTACGAACAGCATAAGTTCCTGTTTGTGCTGCTGATGGCGCTCAACATTGACCGTCAGTTGGATCTTGTGAGCTATGATGAGTTCCAAAATTTCATAAAAGGCGGCGCAGCTTTGAATTTGAATGATTGCCCGCCGGTGCCATTCCGTTGGATCACCGATGAGACTTGGCTGAATTTGGTGCACCTGTCGAAGATGTCTCTTTTCGCCAATTTGCTAACAAAGGTCGCAAACAACGAACGTGGTTGGTTCAATTGGTATAAAAAGGAATGCCCGGAAAATGAGACCATTCCAGATGGTTTCAATTCCCTACAGCCCTTCCATAAACTTTTGCTCATACGCTCTTGGTGCGTCGATCGTACGATCGCACAGTCTCGCAAATACATCGCTAGTTCTTTGGGTGACCGTTTCGCTGAACCGGTCGTTTTGAATTTCGATGAACTGCTGTCGGAGAGTAGACCGCTAACGCCTTTAGTTTGCTTCCTTTCAATGGGTTCAGACCCTTCGTCCAACATCGAAGCGCTAGCTAAGAAGAACGAACTCAAGTGCTATCCCATATCGATGGGTCAGGGTCAAGAAGTACACGCACGCAAGCTGGTGCTCAATTGTTTGAGCGACGGCGATTGGGTTTTGTTGCAAAACTGTCATTTGGGGCTGGAATACATGAACGAATTGTGCGTGCAGCTATTCGACTTGGAAAAAGCTGAACCGGACTCATTTAGCGACAGCTTCCGCATTTGGATCACAACCGAACCGCACGATAACTTTTCGATTACTTTGCTGCAGATGTCGATTAAATTTACCAACGAACCACCGGCGGGCATACGTGCGGGTCTAAAGCGCACATACGGCAACTTGTCGCAAGACTTTCTCGACTACTCGCAATCGCCATTCTACCATCCACTGGTATTTGCGATCTCTTTCCTGCATTCGGTTGTTCAGGAGCGTCGCAAGTTCGGTCCGCTGGGCTGGAATATACCGTATGAGTTTAATTTCGCCGATTGGTATGCCAGTTGTTTGTTCGTACAGAATCACTTGGATGATTTGGAGCCCGGCAAGGGTATTAGTTGGACCACAGTGCGCTATATGCTGGGCGAAGTGCAATATGGTGGTCGCGTTACGGACGATTATGATAAGCGCTTGTTGAATACTTTTGCGCGTGTATGGTTCAACGATAATTTATTTGCGCCAACATTTGAGTTTTTCAAGGGATATAAGATATTTACTTTCAAAGAGCAAGAGTCATATTTAGAGGCAATAGACGATATGGCATTACTGGATCCTCCGCAAGTTTATGGATTTCACTCAAATGCTGAGATAACCTATCAGACCAATACAATGAGAAGCATTTTGGATACGATTGTCTCCATACAGCCAAAGGGTAAGTTGAAATGGAGTACATAAATATATTAAAATGTTATCACAGGGTACAGTTGTAGAAAGACTGGTTGGGGTGAGGTATAGTAAGTAGTATGCGTGGTTAGGAGTAAATTAAAAAAAAAAATTATAGTTTTTGGCAAATATAATAAATAGGAACACTTTAATACGTGGTAGAAATTGAATAGGTATGCAGTATAAAATATTTTTAACAAGGGTCATAAGAATCGAGCACATTTTTTATGAAAAATTTACTATTGTAGTTTACTATCGTAAAACATATTTACTCTAAGCGTACCTTGTGAGTAGCAGAAACTACATAAAAATGGCAAAAACTTAAATGAAATAATGGGAACAGTTTCATTACACTACTGGGAAGAGTATCAAAAGATAAAAAATTTAGCTTTTAGTCCATTATGCAGTTATACAAGATAACAGTTTGATAATTTTCTAATTCTGTAATTGGGAACACTTCTGCAAGTAGCAAATGGGTAGGAACAGTTGATCAATAGAAAAGATGTGTGACACAAGTCGATGGAGTGATGAACATTGTTCATTAAAAATTATATATGTATCTAATACTTGGCGGGACAACAGTTGTCGCATGATCTTATAGAAGATATGTATTTTTAACAAGCACCCCTTGTGAATAGCAAATATTTTATAAAAGCTGGAAATACTGGGAAGAGTTATATACAATTAATGGGTGTTTTAAAATGCTCCTTGGTGAGAAGAAGAATATAAATCGGCACTTGAATAGTAGGTTATGCAACTAGAAAAGAACATAAATTACCAAAAATTAATAAAAAAATTGGTAACAGTCTTTAATTTACTGTAACTTACGTCGTATAGGAACAATTTTTGGGTGACAATAGTATCTAATTTAATGTTAAAAGATAAATCGGCAGGATTGCAAAGAACTGTAGTAGGAAATCAGTTAGTATAAGAGTATGTGGGTAAATTATAAACGATTGGCCAAGGGCAATTTATCGCGCAGGAAATTAGCGGTGAAGAAAATTTACTACTGGGAACAGTACAAACTTACTTGAAGAGTTTTAAACATATAATTGTTTTTTTTTATCACGATTTTTTTGGAAATAGTACCTGAGGAAGCAGTAATCTGAGAAAAGTGTTTCAAACAATTACATATACACTGCCGGAATAAAGTATTGGCACAGCGAATTTTTCACAATATATGCAACAATTTTCATTCTAATATTTGCAAAACTTTGTGCAAAGCTCGCGAAAATTCAGCAAATTTTCAGGAAAATTTTCAACTTTTTAATCAGATTTTTTAGAATTTTTTTGGGTATGCAGATTTGTAGCCCCATCAATTTGATTATAATAAAGTGCAAGTTTAAAGTAGCTAGGAATTACCGTTTATTTTTGGCAATTTTTTTCACGCACTGTCTTCCATACAAAAATTTTTTTCGAAAATACTTTATATGGAAAAAATGCAAAACACCTTCAACAATAAAAATTCTCACAAATCAACGCGATTTTTGACTAACTCCGAACTTAAATTTTTTTTTACTAAAATTTAATGGGCTGCAAAACCGCATATTCAAAAAAATTCTAAAAAAACTGAATAAAAAGTGGAAAATTTTGATGAAAATTTGCTGAATTTTCGCGAGTTTTGCACAAAGTTTAGGAATTTTATTTTTGTGTTTTTTGTTGTTGAATGAACCATATTTTTATACAAAATCGGCAGAAAAAAATTAGAATAAAAATTGTTGCATATATTGTGAAAAATTTGCTGTGCCATTACTTTGTTCCGGCAGCGTGTATTTAATTAAAAACACACCGGGATAGTCTAAATGGAGTTAAATATGCACTTGTCGAATTTTTTACTTGGATTTAAGAAAACATGCATGAAAAAGGTGAAATTGTTATTACGAAAATTTACATTTAATATTGAGAACAGTTTTATAATGCAGAATAACTAATTGATTGCATATGCAATCAAATTTATATTGCTAGTAACAGTTGTAGAAACTGACAGGGGACAGTTTTAAGCATTTTTTACGCGTATATGCCTAAAATTATTTGGGGAAATAACATTAATAACCACAGAAAACTGTTTTAATATTACAATGCTTTCAACACTTTTTTCGAAGTAACCCTTGAATCTAAGAAAATCTGCACAAAAAGGTTAAAGTCATGTTGTACCACTGGGAACAGCTTCATAAATGTTGGGAACAGTTAAATGAAATACTGGGAGTTGTTTTAATGTATAATTGATTCAAATAAAAGCCCGACATTATGTGAACAAAGTAGGGCTGTGCGATTATTCGATTACTCGAGCAAGTTGGTTAATCAATTATTCGGTTAATCAATTACTCGAGTAATCAAGATTTTGATTACTCAAAACGATGATTAATCGAGTTACTTGAAATATGATTACTCAAAAAAATAATTTTGCTCGTTAAAAGAGTTTGCTTTGGAAAATGCTTATTTTCTTTTTTACATTCTGTATATGAAAAAATTTTTTTGTTTTAATTTTTGAAAACAGAAACGTTGTTTTCAAGGTATCAAGGAACTTTAACTACTTTATACATATGTAAAGAGTTGAAATGTTGATTACTCATTTTACTCGAAATGTTGATTAATCATAAAGCAAATTACTCAAATATTTTTGTTTTTGGTTAATCAAAAATCTTGATTACTCGAGTAACTGAACTTTTGAGTAATCATAATTTCCAATTAATCGAATAATTGAGTTATTTACTTTATGATTAATTAAAATTTTGAGTAATCAATTAATCGCACAGCCCTAGAACAAAGGTAATAATACATACACACACATAACAACCCAACAAGCAAAATAAATTTAAAGAAAGTTTTTTTTCAGTTTTCAATTATAAACATTAAGCTTACAAAACGTTGATTTTTTGTTTATAAAACGCTTGAAAGTAAGCGTAATATAATCAAAAAGGAACATTGGTTATAATCGTAGAAATATAAACTTGTAATAAATGTTCAAAAGAAAGCTTTTTATAAGCGTAAAAGTGTAAACTTATAATAAAGGTTCAAAAAAGTTGTTCATAAGCGTATGAATATAAACTTACTACAAATTTTCAAAAGAAAGCTTTTTATAAACATTTTTATAACCCTTTATTTAAAGATATTTCATTAAAAACTCATACATAGATTGCTTAACATCTAGAAACCAAAAGAAATGCGGCGGACTCATCTACAGTCGCGAAAATATAAATAGGGAATATACGTTTTAGCATACAAATTCACGATAACCAAAAATTAAGCATAAAAAAGTGAATTATTACATCTTGTTGCGTGGTTTCAATTACATGCGGTTATTGGCAAATTGGAAAAACCACATCGATGCAGCTATATATTCCGCTTCATCGCCGCCATTCTCATTGATGAACTTTTCTGAAAAAAATTTAATACATTTTTAATTGAATGTTAAACTAAGAAAGGATAAGGAGAACTCATCATTTGAAGACTCGAATGCTCCACCGATTAGCGCAGCGGGTCCTGGATGGGATTTTTTTTACCGCATCGGTTTTATTTAATTTTTTCTTTTTATAATATATTTTAAAAAACGTAAACACGTCACTTACGATTGAAAAAATGTTATATTTACTATTTCATGTCGTTGGCATTTGCATTTCATTTATAAGTTTAAGTTATTTATAAACATTCGCTCTCAAAACTTACTAAAGGTTTATTTGAAAAAACTTTGAATAAGCTTAATATTAAAAATGCTTATTTAACGCTTATTATAGCAAACTTACTTTAAGTTATTTTTAAAAACATTTACTGAAATGCTTGTTGGGAATTCTATCTTGTAGAAATGTATGCTTATATACAAAGAAAATAGGAATAGTTATCGCAAATATTTAAACTTAGTTTCAAGTACGGTTACTGAGAAAAGTGGCGCGAATTCATTAGGGACAGTTTTAAAGTGCCCCTAAGTGCGTTTTGTAAAAATGTACGGGATAAAAACCTTAATATTCAGAGAAATAAGCATTAGATGGGGAAAACGTAACGTATTTGCCAAAAAGAAAGCGAAAAATAATATAAAACTTTGGTCATAGTAAAATAAAATAGTGTTATTTTAGATCTTTTTTGGACTTATACAATTTAAAAAAAAAAAAATGAATATATTTCAGCATTCAGAAACATATTACAAAGAATACACAAAAGTAAAAACAATTCACTGGAATACATATTTCCTGGTTTTGTAGAGCATTTAGTCTGAAGCCCCATTAAATTAACGAATGTTGTTGTTGTTGTAGCGGCACTACTAAGCTCCGCCTTTTTCGGGTCTACGTTCAATAATTTTCGTCAAGCTCAACTAACGGGAGGCCCAGGAAACGAGCTGTTTCAATGGGTTCGGACCAGAGGGAGAGGGGTGTTAGCTGAGTCGGATTGAGCTGGCATGTAAAGAGGTGGTTGGTATCAAATATATATAATATCCCAACGGTTTTTACCCTCCATTCCCGCCCATCCGCACGA